CCAAAAGCCAATATGGCTTTATCAAGAACAGGTCATGCTGGGTTATATCCATTTCCTCCTTCATCAGGGTAACCAGCTTAACAGATCAAAGGAATGTCATAGGCATGGTTAGATCTGACATGAGCATTCAAAAAAAATCTCTAAGCTTTTCTTAGGAATAAGATAGAAGAGATGTAGCCGAGAGAATACATAGTATAGTTGGGTGACATAGACCCAACGAGTAATCGTTAATGGGTCAATGTCATCTTTAAAAGAACCCTAATGATGACTTTAACCCCATTTCCTGTTTCATATTTCTAGCAGTGATTGGAACAAAGTCAAAGGCATGCACACTCATCCGATTTGCAAATGGCAGAAAGCTAAGCAGGTTAGCTAATTCTCTGGGGGGTAGACAAGATGCATAAAGATTTCAACAGTGCCATGAGTTAGTTGTGATTGAGAGGAATGTTAAGAGATTTGACTGTAAAACTCTACACTGGGATTCAGAACTAACTTTACAGGTATAGGATGGGGGCAAACGTGGCTAGGTGACAGTTTACGTGAAAAAGAGACAGGAGTCCTGGGGACGACAACCCAAGCTCAATATGAGTCAGTGGTTTGTTGTGGGAGGAAAAAGGAAGAAGGAAAAACTAACCTTATGCTCGACTACGTTAAGGGAGGCATAGTTTCCAGAACCAGGGAGATGCTCTCTGCCATGTCAGACCACATCTAGAGTCCTGGGTTTGGTTCTGGGTGCCATGTCTTAGGAAGGATGTTGACAAGGTAGTGCTCACCCAGAAGAGGATGACCATGATGGTGAGAGGACTTGGAACCAGGCCATCTGAAGATTAGTTGAAGGAATTGAGGGTATGTATCCTGGAGAGGAAAAGGCTCAACAGCCTTCTGGTTGTTTTCATCTATCGAAATGGCCGTCATTGGAGAAAAAGGCATGGTGAAGTAGGTCTTCTTAGTTCCAAAGGACAGAACTAGAAGCAGTGGCAGGAAGTTACGGGGGATCAATTCAGGTTCTTTTCCCTGATCTTTGTGGGATGCCCTGTAGAAGGGACTTGAAGTCCTACTCACAGGGGAGATATGTTGTCAGGTCCAAAGTAGCAACAGTGTCCCTGAAATGCTGTCTCCAAATCTCTTTGTGTTTAACCACAGAGACCAAAGGAAGGATCTGAGACTCAACCCTAATAGAGAAGAGTCAGCTAAATGAGGTGGACTGATGGGACAGAGCATGGACATTGATGTTACTGCTGGCCACATTGACCTTTGTGGTAAAAATAAACAAAAGCCTTGAATGCTGGGGCTAAGTCAGTACCTTTCACAAGTTCTGCATTATTTGGAGAGAAAAAAGCAGGAGAGACCTATGGACAAGCAATTTTCCAGTCTAAGAAAGAAAAAAGGCCACAGTGTTTTACAATTCCTTGTTGTTGCCCAGGTTTCTCTTTGCCAACGTCTCTGAGTATGTTGGGTAAAAATATTGTTAGTTTCTTAGCTAGGGAAAAGAATCTTCCTTTCAACCCAGGTTTTAGTCCACATGTCTTTGGAGGAACCAATGCAAATATTCATGGAAGAAGAGCTGATTTGGGTGTCATTTTGGCGTCCGTTTCAGCATTGGGCTATTTTATCCACATAAGAAAGTCTTGGCTTAGAAACACTTTATGCCACAGATAGAGATCAACAAGGCCAGTGAGGTTGACCTCTGTTCCTGGCAGAATCTGAAAGTACATTATTAAAAACACTCTGACTCAGTCTTAGAGAGTCGCTTAGGGTGCTAAAGGTTAAGTGACTTGTTCATGGCCACATCGCTTGGATGTTTCAGAGGCAAAGCTTGAACCCATAAGGCAGCCTTTTAGCCTCTCTCCCACACTGTATTAATTTATTACACAATGGTTCATGATTTAATTGGTCCATATCATTTTTTATTCTTATTTATAAGACATGGCCCTTTTGCAGAGAGTAGACATAGCAAGGAAGGAGGGGCTACATGAGTAAATGGGGTGAGGACCAGAGTTCCAATCTCATCTCTGGATGTTTATTACCTTTATGGCCTTAGGTCAAGTCGCTTAACCACCCTGAGCCTGTTTCTTGATCTGTCATTTAAGAGGGTTGGACGAGGTAGATTTCTGTGTCCCCTTTTAGCTCTAGGATCCCAAGAGATCAATAAAAAAGTTGGTTGTTTTGGGTTTTTTAAAGTCCATAATCCTGAGGGTGTAGCTGCCTGGGCTAAACAAAATGTAGCTGTGAGTAATTATCTGGCGAACTTGATTAGTGGCTATGTTTGAACTTTTGCATCAAGTTTGGGAATAAGAGATATCTGAATAACAGCATAAGCTCAGTCACACTCAGCCTATCACTGCTGATGGAATGTTTCTCATTGGCTTATGAAACCTGTGCTCCTGCCATCTTGGAGTCATGCACATTGCTCATTTTCCATATTTTTGTGTCTCTGACTAATCGAAGGCTCAAACAGTTTTGTGATGCCACATATCTGGGGGCTAATTATGGGCTCTCACACTTTCAAATTGGAGCAATCCCAGATGGGGGGATCTATAATGGATAGGAAGACACATCAAGATTGACAGGGGTGATGCTGGTTAGTTTTGTTTCTTTCAGTTGGGAAACTCAATTTGTTTGAATTTATAATTGGTGGTTTTCTGTATCCAAACTTGCTAGGAATCACGAAGGCAATTGCTTTCTTCTCCCAGTTTTTTTAGGTTGGGGGAACTTGAGGATAGTACTGATCCTAGCCAGCCTTGGGGTTTTCCATGAGCATGAGCGTTCTTAGAGTCCAGAGGTCAAATTCTCCCCTCAGTGTTTCATGCCCAGCTGGGTTAAGAATTGTGCAAGAGAAGAATCCGAATCTTTCAGGTTGTTCATGAACAGGAATGCCATGAGTGATTCAAACTTCCAACCACATCTCCCTCCCCTCCCCCTGCTCCCCACATACATTTTGTTTACTGTTGAGAGTAATTGGTGATAAACTCTAGAGTTTCAGAGAGCGGTATAGGAGGCCGGTGCTGCTATGGCGCCGCAGATTTCCCTACAGCAGATTTCCTTTTTTGGGGATGATCGAGGATACACCGAGGTCTCCCTTGCTATGTCCTGGCAAACAGGGAAGGGGAGAACATCTCCCCAATGGCACCGCGGGGACCACTGCCTTTTGCCAGTACCAGCCTGACCCCTCTGTTTAAGTGCATATTTGCTCCCCTGTTCATGCTTCACTTTGGGGGTCATAGACGTTTGGTCACGAAGACAGCATGTTTAGGAATTTATGATATTTGGAGAAGTTATTTATGCAGGCCCTAATTCTATTAGAGGACTCAGGTAAAAAGCCCTCCGAAGATAAATGAGTACCATCTGTATTACTGGGGCCTGCCTGGATAACTTTCCTTGGTAAATGTGATTTGGAGATTTTCATTTTTTCCCCTCCAAAAGTTCACCCACCCCTGCTGCCGCTCATTCATCATCATACATTATGATCTCCCATCTGAGCCTCCACTTTGGGGCGGTCTCTGGAAATGATTAGACTGTAGCAAATCAACTTCAGGGATTTGTTTCTTCTAGCTTCACCTTCTCTCTGGCTGCATATCTATGATGTACAACACCCTACTTGTCATGTATAAAAGTCCCTAGGATTTTAAAAAAGGATTGGACTGGAGTGGGGGTGGCAGTTTCATCTGGGTGTTGTGGTTAGGGCAGAATGCAGTTTGGTGCCATGGAAAGAGTGCTGGACCTGGAGTCATGGAATTTCAGATTTAGATACGGAAAAGTCACCGAGTTCAACCCCCTCATTTAAAGCTGAGCAAACTGTGACCCAAGGTTGCAAACTACTAAGTGTCTGAATCAGAGTTTGAACCCAAGTCTACCTGACTCCACGTCCAGTTTCATACTGCCCACTAAGTACAAATCCTGAATCTTTTGTTGATTACCAACACAAACTTGGGGAACTCATTTCTTCATTTCCTTATCTGTAAAGGGAGAGGGTTTCCACTAACTTCTAGCCTAGATCTGTCTTAAATTGCAGCACTCAACAAACCAACCTTGCTTGTTTGGTGGGTGCAAAGATGGGCCTGTTTCGAATCGGGGCTCGGCTTGAGGGAGAGCAGAATAATGTGATTTATAGGGAAAAGGCAGAAATGACCCTTCATGCCTTTGAAGAGGCCTGCCTTGTTCTGAATCTTCTTGGTACCAATCTAACAAATAGCTTTCCATAAAGGAAATAGAAAATTACAAGGACATCATCAATTTCCTTCAGGCGGTCAGAATCAAAGTGGCCCTTGGGAGGAACGGTAGAGTCATCCAGCTGTGGTCCACAGGGAACCCAGGCTCAGCGAGGGGTATACCATTAGAATACCAACCACTTAGCGAAAGAAAGCTTTAGGGGAGGAGAAGCTGCGCCTGGTGTGTGTGTCTCCCTTTCAGGACACTAGGAAGCCATTTAACCTGGATGCAGGGGCAGTCGTTTGCTAAATGATTAAATGGCCTGAAAGAATAAATGTGGGTTCCTAAAGGGTCTGATCGCCGCCTGAGGAGGGAATCATCCCCGGGGGATCTAGCACTCAGTGGCTGGGATGGAGGCACTCTGAGCTGATTTATGAGCAGCAAGTGTAACAGCTGCTTTGTAATAAGAGGCAGGGCAGAGTAGTGGAAATCCTGCCTGTCTTGGAGGGAGGAGGTACCTGGCTTTGGAACACACATTTCCTACTTATTTGAAATATAAGTATTTCATACTTATACATACATATATTCCATCGAGTGACTGGATCTCTCTTATCCTCAGTTTCCCCATGTGTAAAATGAGAACAGATAATACACGCAATGCTCCCTTCACAGACCTGGGCCTCATTTCCTCATGTGTAGAGTAAGGGGGATGGACCCGATCACCTCTGAGGTCCCATCCAGTTTTAAACCTTGGATCCTATGAGGACCCCAGGCAGTACGTTGTGGTGTTGTGTTCCCACAGCAGGCCCACCTCTGCACATTAATTTATACCATCCTCTCTTCTTCCTTAGGCCTCTCGGCGGACGGTGGCGCCAAGCGACAGGAGCATCTTTCCCGATTTTCGATGCCTGATCTGAGCAAAGACTCGGGGATGAACGTCTCAGAGAAACTAAGCAACGTGGGGACCCTCAACTCCTCCATGCAGTTTCGCAGCGCAGAGTCAGTCCGCAGCCTGCTGTCTGCCCAGCAGTACCAGGACATGGAGAGCAACCTTCACCAGCTGTCTACCCCCATCAGATACAGGGACCTGCAGTCTCGGGGAAGGATGCACCAGAGCTTTGACCTCGACGGGGGCATATCCAGCGGTAAGCTGCCGGGCCAGGACGGAGCCAGGATCCAGCCCATGAGCGAACGTACCCGCCGGCGGGCAAGCCCCCGGGATGATGCCCGCCGCTTTCGGCCCCACCGCTCTCGGCGCTCCCGGAGATCTCGTTCTGACAACGCCCTCCATCTGGCCAGTGAGAGGGAAGCCATCTGCCGGTTGAAAGAACGGCCCCCGCTGAGAGCCCGGGAGGACTATGACCAGTTCATGCATCAGAGGAGCTACAGGGAGAGCCTGGAGCAGGGGGGGTCCCGCCGGGACCTCTATGGGCAGTGCCCGCGGACTGTCTCCGACCTGGCTTTGCAGAACGCCTTTGGGGAACGCTGGGGACCCTACTTTGCCGAATACGACTGGTGCTCCACCTGCTCCTCCTCTTCCGAGTCCGACAACGAGGGCTATTTCCTGGGGGAGCCTATCCCCCAGCCGGCCCGTCTCCGGTACGTCACCAGTGAAGAGCTGCTGCACAAGTACGGCTCCTACGGCACCCCCAAATCCTCCACCTTGGGGGGCAGAGGACAGCTGCACAGCCGGAAAAGGCAGAAGAGTAAAAACTGCGTCATATCCTAATGTCCGTCCCGCGGCAGGCGGAGCCGAGAATGTAAATCCACACACTTGCACTGTTTTCGGATTTAAAGCGCTTTGACCTTGTTTGTCACTAAAGGCCCCGACGGCCGAGACGGAGGCAAGGTTAGGGATCGGCTTCTAGAGGCAGGCGCGGTTCTTGGCGTGGTGGATTTTTTTTTTTTTTTTTGCACATCTCACTTTGGAAACACTTTGGACTCTCCCTTTGTCTGAGTGGTTGTGTTTCTCTCTCTCCAGTTCTGTGTTCAGTTACCACACTTTAGCAAATTATTTACTCTCTGCTTCTCTTACTATCTCATTTTTCAGGACTCTTTTTTTTTTCCAGTAAGTGATTTGTTTATCAGCCAGTACCCAAGACTAAGTTATTTACACGTCCATTGTAAATGCAATGTAAATGAGAGTTCTGATAAAAAATATTTTTGTATTTTGTAATATCAGAGGAATTTCTATATCGTAGGACTCGGTGGGAAATTGCATGAACAGCCAGCATTGTCAAGTAGAATTAAAAGATGGTTTCAGGCCATCGGGTTTTTTCTTTCCCTTTTTAGATTTCTATATAAAATTTGTTATATATCAGTGAGACTTTTTTTTCAAAGGAGTATATACATATATTGTGTGTGTATATATGCACATACACACAAACATACAGTTTGACTCTCTGTGGCTGGAAAATAAAAACAGCAAAAACAACATAGAAACACGAAGCATCTAAAGCTTTGTTCCATCTAAAGGAGTCTACAGGGTTTATTTACTGAAGTCTGCTCACACCCTCAGTAGAAGCTGCTTTCTATCCAGCAATAGTCATTTTTGAAAATTGCAATTGTAACTTTCACCAATTTGAGAAGCTAGCCAGTGTCAGTGAAGTCCAATGAGAAAAGCCATCTCCATTGGGGACATTGAGGTTGCTTCACATTGATCTGTTCCTTGGGGAATTTTTTTTTTAAAGTGTCCGTGGTTCCATTGTGTGGTGTCTGCATGGCCCTGTTCTGAGTGTGGTGCTGTTGTTTTCCTGGATTATGTTATCTGCTTTCCTTGACTAAGGCAGACGGAGGACTGCCATCATAGATAGACAACCCAGTAGCCTTAAAGCAAATGAATTATATAACTTTGGGAGCTCAAGTCAAAAGGAAGTTCTAGCAGATGGGACAGAGTTTGAGGTGATTTGTTCTCTCTGGGTTGTTCATCAAAGGGCAAAATCGTAAACAGGGAGCAGATCAAAGATAGAAATTTTATGGAGGTTAGTTAGCGAGAACAGAAGAAGAGGCAAGTGTTTGCCAGCTAACTGAGATTCTATTGGGAGTATTGCTTCCTTTGTCTCTCCCTGGTTTCGATGAGGAAATTTAAGGGTACCTCTCAGAAAAAAGTGCCCAGTTTAGGAAATCTTCAGTAGTCAAGGTATCTGACTCACCTCAACAGGCCAAGATAACTGGCATTAGTAAAGAAAGCCTGTTAATCCCATTGGCTATAAAAGGAGAAACTACTGAGAAGGAAGATTTCCAACTGGATGGTTGGGTCAAATGGCAAGGAGTCTGCATTTACTTAAAGAAGATATTTGGGCTTGCGTTGTCTACCTTAATGCTAATTTTCCTACTTTGATTCTATTAAAAAAAAAAAAAAACAAACCACGGAGAAGCACCTACATTGCTTCTACTCCTTTCTCATCCTTCATTGATTATGGCAGTTAAGATAATCCAACAGAGAACTGACATTGAGACCTACATTTAAGTGTGTTACACTTTGTATCTCATTGGTAACTGGCCTTGGTGGGGAGCACGTGATGATTTTCCAGTATAGTACATGCGTTTTCTTAGTATTTTTCTTTTTATTAAGAGGAAGTGATAAGCAGATTTTCAGATCCCATCCTAAATGGGTCTGGGGGAAGGAAGGCTTTAAAGGAATTATATATATATATATATGGCACTCAATGCAGGATATATGAAAATAATTTGCTTTTCAGGTATAAATAGAACATTTGTCATTGTCACTGATTTAAAAAAAAAAAAGCAATGCAGATGTTGGTCGTGGCAGTTTCCCGCATGCTATGTTTCATATCTAAGCGCTTTGTTAATTATCTGAGCCTCTGGAGAATTAAGTGTTACGTTTGTATAATAAGTTTGTAAACTGCTTGGCAAACTGATTAAGAAATAATCTGCAACCTCACTCTATTAAGTGGCAGGTTTCTGGTAGAAAGACATGATGTATTTAGAGTTTTGATCTCATTGATGGGAATGAAAAGGAATTTTGAAAAGGGGAGAATTGAACAATTATAGAATAGCTGAGAAGTTGTCTCCTATTTCCCCCATTCCAACAAAAGAATCTCTCTCTGTAACATTGCTCCCTAACACCCCTTCAAAGTATTCTACATCCCTTGCCGAAACAAGGCTTTAATCACTTCCTGTCCACTGAAGAAGAGAGCCCTAGAAATTGACATCTATTAATTACCCCAAGGGGACAAGGCAAAAGAAGGAGGTCGTCCTCGTAATGCCTTTGTTCTCCCACATCCACCTTGATTCATTTATTTTAGCTAATAGAGGTCCAGGTAACGGTCAACTAGCTTGGTCTATTCGGTGACCATAGACAGCACCCCCAGCTTTAGCAGACCACCTTCCCCCAAAATGCCACTGATAACAACAGGGAGCTGGGTAACTGAGGGGAAAGGAGAAAAGAAGTCATGCCCATTATTTCATTGTCATGGAAAAACAATCCAAGTAAATGTTCTCTGAAGAGCCAAGGAATCCCCAGTAGATCATCATCACATATGAAGCCAGCCCACTAGTAAGTATTTAGCTCTCATCTACTTGATTCCTTTAGGCAATTTCTCTTCTCTCTTAAGTAGGTAGAGGAAGAATTTGGAATCCTTGGTTGACTGACTGTTTTAAAGATCTGCAGTTCCAACAATGTGGGCAGTCCCTCTACCAGTGCAGTTTGAAGCTCCTCAATCACTTACTAGATCATCTTTGAGAGAAGATAGGAAGGTATATTTTCTCTTTTCTTTGAGAGAAGGTATGGCTGAGACATTCATCATCCTTGTGACAACTCCGTGAAGATTCCCTCACCATTTAGCTTGCTAATTCCTCAGGCAGCAGATATGGGCCATCCCTGCCTTCCGACCCGTGCCTTTCCCAGCGTGGCAGAACCTTCCAGTACATGCATTCCACTTTTACATCCTTTAAGAACCCAGAGGCACTTCCATGACTGGGTGAGAGACTGAGGTAGGGCTTCTGTGGAGGTCAGACATCATGATCATCTCTTAATATCGGTTGAAGGAATCCTGAGTCTGAGCCCTATCCATAGACTCCTCATAAACAACCTTTTCTGGGGTTTTCTGTGTTCAAAAGGGCATTTAACCATGGACGGATAGGTTTCAGTCTGCATCGCAGGAGGGAGCACACTTATAACTAAGATCAAAGATCTCTCCAAGGGAATTCACCTTGAGATATTGCCCCTGGTTTCCCCTCCCCCTTTACATATTGGTTTTGTTCATTCACTCTTGGTACTGATCTCTTCTGTCTTACACATACTTCAAATTTGAAATTAGGTTCACATTCTTTTGCCGATTAATTCAATGAAAAAGGAATCGACCCTTTCCCAACCCCTCTAAATTTCAGCGATGATATTACCAGAGCAATTGTCTAAATAGATATAGCTGTAACAGAGAGTCTCAAGTCTTTGAAGAGCCAAAGAGATTGCCCAGTTTGATGAAGATTTTAAAAGTCAATATACTTGAAGTAATCAACCAACTTCCTAAGTCATGGTGGCAGGGCAAACTTTACAGAATGCAACCAAACTGTTGTACAAGGGAGGGCAGGAGATATTGCAAACGTCTTAGCTGTCTTCTTTTCACTCAAGATGATCTGTCTTTCTCATATGGGAGAATTACCTTTCCTAATAGAATTAGTGGTCTTTATTCACACCCCCTTTTGTTATGCATTCACAGAATTTTACAGTTGGAAGGGACCTTGGTGACTATCTTAATCCAAACTAGATCCCCCCAAAAGAATCCCTTCTGAAAAATCCAACAAGTGATTTTCCATCTTCAGCCAGAAGACTTTGAAAGCAGGGAAATTCTGGGTAGCTTAAATGATAGGACATCATTCGTGACCTCAAGCTTCAATTGGTCTCTTTTCAACTTCTACCCATTATTTCTGTTCCTTGCCTGGGGGTGGGGGTGAGGGGAGAGAGAAGGGGCACATCTACCATCTTGAGTCTTCCTATGTGTGGACCTACTCACTTCTAGAATGGCCACTGAGTGTGAAAGTGTGGGGGAGAGGAGATAATCAGGACAGTAATTCCTGGCTCCAGCCTATCAGTGGGCAGGGCAAAGTGACTCCTACTCTCAGTTGCTTATTTGCATCTTTTCATACCCCACGTCTTTATCTACTCACCCCCACCAGTCAACCTAATGCATCCTTCATCTTTCTACGCTACAACACAGAAGCAGTTGTCTCTCTTGCTTCTTGGTCCCTGCAATAGAATAAGATGAGCTGATAAAAAGATTCCCAGAATCTCCCTGTTCTCTAGGCAAAGCTTTGTGCTTTGGGGGCTTTGGTGGCCATGACTGAGTTCAACATATTAAGTGCCCTTAACTCTTCCGCTGAAAGTAGTACCAAAGTTACAAAGATAAGAATCAGCAGCGAGGGCATTTTCAAGCTCAGCAAACCGCCAGATTCTAGGGGAGCAGCATGGCTTTCTAGGCCTCGCCACGGAAACTTCTCAGATGCTCTCTTCTTTCCTTGTGTTTATTGTCAACTTGTACAAACAAATCTTCTCTTGCTTTTATTTCCTTTTTATGATGATGCATTGTGACTATTCTCATTCCTTCCTCAAGTAAGAAAATAAGATGAGGAATAAGCAACATGAGAATAGTGTGCTGGTTGTGTTTTCCCATCAGCCAGGAATTGGAAAGAATGCTCTCAGTCCCGCAGAAGCATGAGTCTCCTGAGGCAGGGTAGAAAATTGAGACAATTACTTGGATAATTCAGGTCCCCAAAGATAATGCTGTGTCTTACCTGTAGCCAACTGAGGATGACTTTGCATTTAGAGGAATCCTTGCCCACGTTCAAGTCAAAAATACTGGAAGTCAGTTTCCAATGGCATCTTCCTGGGATGCTTTTGTTCAGGCCACCTAAGACTCGGCTATGAAGGAAACTTTCCAACTCTGGTTGAGAACCAACAAGTTGTCCACCGTTCTTGATGATCAATAGGGTCTATGGCTAGTCAGGGTGATTAGTTAAAAGCAGTTATCCAAGTTGGGAGAATTAGATTTGTTTTCCATTTCCTAATAAAATTCAGATTAGTAACTCCAATCAACATGAAAATCCCATAAAAAGTGACATTGTTAGGAGGCATGATGTTTAATGTACTTCCTGCCGACAAAACTAGATTTCACAGAGTGGGGGTGGGGGGAGGGAGGGGGAATGTTTGTAGTGTTAGGAGAATATTTCTGTGATTTAGAGGCCAACCTATAGGCTAGAACGGTGTTTTGTTACCCAGGGTGGGGGATGCGGAGCATTGATTGGTTGGTTAGGGCATAAAAAGTTTTATATGGCTACTGCCCCTGTTGGATGTTGGAAAGTGGGCTCTGGATTTAGAGTCGGGGACCGGGTTCGAATCCTGGCTTCACTGTGTACCACATTGTGTGACTTTGGGCAAATCACTTTTCTGGCCTTCAGTTTTCTCACCTGTAAAATGGTGGGCTTGAGCTAAATGACCTGTGAGTTCCCTTCCAGCTCTGCAGCTGTGATCCCATGTACTAACACGTCACATGGGCCACCAGTCAGTTTCTTCTTATCAGGAAAATGACTCTAGAGCGTGCCTAGCACTTGAGAAGGTGAGCTTCCTCAGAAAAACTAACTCATTCTCAGCAAAGACCTTTTCCTCCGACACATGTGGTCCGTCCCGTGGCCACCAGGCCCTTTTACAATAGTCAGTGGGACCCTAGCCACAAGTGCCCCCAGCTCGGTTGTATTTCAAGGAATATAAAGTCTCCATCTTCTTTAACCAATTATGACTTTGGCCTTTTTCCCATCCTAAACACACACACATTCCTTCATATTAAAGGATTGTTTTTACTCTCTCCTACTTTGATTTCAAGGGCACAAACAAAACCTCAAAGAGACCAAGTAGGTGAAGTGGGCCTGAGTCTGTGCTGTTGAGTCAAAGATTGCCATGCTCTTTGTTAAAGAATGTGCATTGGGCCTTTGGTGTGGGCCATCTGCCAGAGACCGTTTGAACATTTTGCTTGAGATCTGTGCCCTGTAAAATGGATATAACGTTTTACCAATGTCTGTAATACATTTGTAAACTTCCAATAAAATTTGAATCAAACAAACAATACTGTCTTTCCCTATATATCACCAGTTTTCCAGATTACTGCCGTAGACTTTTCCTTTGAGCATTGTGACCAAGAAGACGAGATCCCATGTCAATGGAGAAGACCTACTCTGTAAGTTGAGCAATTAATCAAAGGTTTCCTAAGTGCCTACTAAGTGCCAGGCACTGAGCTAGTCTTTGGGGATACAAGTAGAAGAAATCAAACAATTGCTGCTCACGGGTTGCTTATATTCTAATGAGACACACACATATATATATATATAGCATAAATATAAAGTTAATAAATACAAATAGATACATATTAGTTAAATACAAAGTAGTTAAGGAGGAAGGGTATTAGTAATTGAGTCAGGAAAGGTTTCATGGAGAAGATGGTGCCTGAGCAATATCTTAAAAAAAGAATGTTGGGGCAGCTAGGTGATGCAGTAGATAGAGCACCGGCCCTGGAGTCAGGTGGACCTGAGTCCAGATCCAACCTCAGACACTTAACACTTACTAGCTATGTAACCCTGGGCAAGTCACTTAACCCACTGCCTAGCAAAAAAAGAAAAGGAAAAAAAAACCAGTGACTACAATATGGAGGTAAAATGGGAGTGCATTCCATCATGGACACAGACACAGACACATGCCATAAGTGAGGAACAAAGGCCAGTTTCGCTAAATTCCATAGCGCCAAAGGT